AAAGCATTCATCGTCAGACATTGTCAATGTGTTGTTTTATTTTTCTTAACTCTACTTCCTTGTTAAAAAGGAAAGGTTCTATTGGTAATATTGCATTTTTTTAAAATCTCTAAAACATCAATAAATCAAAACTATTTTAAAGGAGTGTGTGAGTGTGTGTGTGTGTGTGTGTGTGTATGGGTGTGTGTGCCCAAAAAAGTCAGATTGGAGAGAAGAGAGACTAAAATCAGTCTTCTGGAGATCCTCTAGGAGGATACTACAGGAGACTAGAAATTAAGTCCTTAAGAAATTAAGAACCTAGATTAAGGTAGTGATATGGGTCATGTTTTATATAAACTTTGGATCTCCTCCAAAAGCCTGGCACAATGAATGAACTCTTCTCACAATAGACACTTAACAAATTTTGATTAGTTGACAATCATACAGGAGACACCTCAAAGTGAAGACAATTGGTGTGTGACGCACCAATTGGATATAGAAGCTGAAAGAGAGAAGGAATGACTCCACGGTTTCGGGCCTGAGTAATTATGATGGTATCTCCCTTTCTCTGTTTGTGGCAGAAAGAGGGAAGCTGGGAGTCGGGGGACCTGTTTGGGAGGGATGATGAGCTCAGCTTGGGACATGCTGAACTTGCCATTAGAACACAGCTCTGAATTTCATATTCAACCTGACTTTCTTCCTTCCAAGCTAGACCCACCTGCTAGCCTCAGCCCTGGGAGAACTTTAGGTTTTTAAAACTTAACTGCCCATAGCTAAAGGAGCCAGTCCCCAACTGATTATCTTCCTTTGCCATGACAAAGAACTGGTTTCTTTGAAGATCCCTGCTGCTGCCAGTGTTGACTGTAAGTGGAGGAGGAAGGAAATAGAGCCTGAGATTAGGGGATCTAAGTAGAGGACTGAAAAATGTTGAATTACCTTGCAGTACTCCTCTTTACAGAATGTGGCCCTATTTCTGACTCTGACCCTTTGACAAGATTGACCCAAAGCCTTTGTTCCAAAAGTACTTTCCCATTTCTGATTTTTGCTCACCAGATAGGTCTTTCAGCTGTCCATAGTAATACCAGACCTAGAGAATCTGAAATGCCCACAGCATGAAAAGCAGGAAATGGCCCTTCGGAAACTGCTGTCCCCAAGGGGCCTAGGATAGATGGTCCAGGTGTTGAGGGAGAGGGTACCCTCTGGCCTGGTGTTCCTGTGGTAGAAGAGGGGAGAGCTGCCAGTATAGGCACTCCCCTCCCCCACTCCCAAAACAGAATGAATCATGGCCATCCACAGCAGGGAGAGGATGTCCCCTCAACTCTGGGCAGCAGGAAGGAAGTTGACCTCTGGGAGGGTGATAGTTTGGGAAGGTTCACTGTGAGGGGAAAAATAAGAGGGGGCATCATTCCTCCTCATAAACAAAAGGTAGGATATTTCCTATTGGTGTCAGGCCAGTCCCCATGACCACGACATGCTGGTCAAGGGGATTAAGGGCTCATCTTCAAAACATTTGACTTTTTTAATATTCACTTCCAAGGTCCATGGATCAGCCATAAGAATGGGCATTGCTGGGCAGCAACTGAGCATATAAGAAGGTAATGAGGATCACAAAGAGCTGGAATTGGGAAAGGGTGGGGTAACCTAACCAGGCCAGATCAGTCTAATCCTTTAGGCAGAACACTGACAGAAAAGATATTCTAGGGGCTCTGGCCCTGGCATCTCCTTTCCTCTCTGGAGAAATTCAGTCTGGGTGAGTGCTCCCACTGTGAGTTTTCTGAGGATTTTGGCTAGCGGGACTCACTGCTCAGTAAGAACCAGAAGACTGTATGCGTCCCACCTCAATCTTAGATTCACATTTTGAGGCCTATTCTGAGCTCTGAAGTTAAACAGGAAGAATGAGAGAATGCAGAGAAGAAATATTGTGATGAAGAATCATACAGCCCACATAAAATAAAAAAACAAAACACAAAGATGAGGATTATTCATCCCAGAGGAACCAGGACTAGAGTGACGAATCAGTCTTTCAGCCTCAGAAAAGGTTACGATATGTTATTCTCCATCTTTACTAAGGGCAGAAGAAGAGGAAAGCAGTCATGAAGGATTTAGGTTAACTATAAAGTACTTTCTCACACAAGGATGTGTGCATGGTACCTGGCACATAGTAGGTACTAAAGTTTGGGGGTTTTTTTGGATGAATGAAAGAATAAGACACCAGAACTCACTCACTCATTTACTCTCTCTCTCTCTCTCTCTCTCTCTCTCTCTCCCTTCCCCCTGCTCTTTCCTCTCTTTCTCTCCTCTCTTTCTTTAAGTATGAGGGAGAAAGAAGGAAACATATCTAAGTATAGGAGAAATTATCTTTCTGGTTGGGATCCTTTAAGTATGTATTTAGAATCAAGGTCATGTCAGTCAAGTGCTTACCATGTATCAGCCACTTGTTAAGCACTGAAAATAGAAAGAAAGGCAAAAAAAAAGTTCCCTGCTTTTAAGGAGTTCACAATCTAATGGGGGAAACAAACATGGAAATAACAAGGTACACAGAACATATATACAGAGTAGATAAAAGGTAATCTCAGAAGGAAAGGCACTAGAACCTGAGGGCACCTCCTGCAGAAAGCCTAGCAGGGCTTTGGAGAGTGTTCTCACTCTGAGGATTCCGTGGTCCATGTTCTACATGGTATTCAGAGTTCGTTAATGATACCCAGAGAATAAACACACACACACACACAGAGTCCTAGGTTAGGCTTTGCTCCTTTTATATCTGTGGCCTCGTGACACCCACATCCTTGTTAAGTGCCCTTTTTGAGGTCATAACTGAATGGGCTAACAGGAAACTGGGTCCCATCCACCCTTCTTACCCATCACCCTGACTCCAGGTGAGCCTCTGTGAGTCAGAGGTTTAATGTGCCCCCTCCTCCTCCAACTTAGCTTTTGCCCAGAAAAGGTTACTGCCTTTGACTTTCCCAAGAGATAACAATGGGAAGAACCTACTAGCCCACCACGTATAAGTCAGTAAGAGATAATAACATTTATATAGTGCTTTAAATGTTTAGAAAGTTATTTCCTCACTATGAGGTAAGTAGTACATATTTTGTTATCCCCATTTTACAGATAAATAATGAGGTTCAGAGGAGTAATTTGCACTAACAGGTGTCTAGTGGCACAAACAGCATTTGAACTCAGGTCTCCTGAAACCAGCTCTATCATTTTGTTTTATTTTTTACACTAATATCTTACTGAGATTGTGACTGGTCTGGGGGTGGAAAAGCAGGGATTAGAGAACGGATTAATAAAAGAAATGAGGCAGTGGAGTCTTGGGACTTTAGCTTTTCTTTCAGAAGCATGAAGACTTGATTCCCATCTCTCTCCCATGCTCCACTTCTCTGCTGAGATACTCCATTTCCATTCACAGTGTTTGGGGTTGAGAGCTACAGGTGACATTGCTGGCCATTGTGCTGGAATCCTAGGGTGTGCCAATTTGTTTGTGTATGATATAGTGAGATAATATCGGTAAAGTGCTTTACAAACCTTAAAGTCTATGTGTAAACTATTTTGTTATTTTTGTTTCTGTGGGTGTTTCTATAGGTGCCTAAATCATCTTCATTCTTGTCCAACAGCATTTACCAAGTCCAAACTGCCTATCTCACTGTATGTGCACACATACTCTGTGGGTTTGGGCAGCTGGGCCCGGTCCACACAGGGCTAGAATGACGTCATGGCTGGTAGCCCCCAAAGCCACTTCCCAAGAGTAAAGAAAAGAAAGGAAGGAAATGCCTATCAGAAGTTCCACTGAGGAAAACAGAGAAACCCAGGGATGGAAGAAGGGGTGGGGATAAGGGTGGGTCAAAAACATCCTAAAAAAGAAGAGGCCGTGGTGGGTTTGGGTGTGCGGGCGGAAGAGGGGGGATTGGGGCATGGAAAACCAAGAGGCCCCCCAGGGAACATGATCTTACTGAAAAGGTACGTCAGGGAAAGTAACATGAAATGTATCCCTGGCAGAAGTATCCCTCAAAGGATCCACAGACTTCAAAGACCCAGCCACGTACAGGCAGGCGTTACCTCCCTCTCCCCGCCCTGCCCCCCTTCCCGCTCAGGTGCTGAGTCTGGGACCAGAGCCACGAGTTTGACCTGGTCTTCCACTCCATCCCTCCACTAGCCTGAGGCTTTATTAAGGCGGATGCACGCCTGCTCTGAGCCACTCGCCCGGAAAGGGACCCGGGTTCCAGGAAAGGTGGTAACGCAGCAGGGACAGAAGATGAAGATGACAGAGCCCAGCAACCAGGTATCTTCTTTGGCTCTGGGGGGTGGATGCTGAGCTTGGGAGGTTGGCTCGGAAGGCTAGGTTTGGACGGCTCTTCATCCACTCTAAGACACAGACTGCAAAGGCAGATTAGCGGGAGGGGACTATTCTGGAGAAATCCCAGAAGAGCAGGGCCGGGAGCAGCCGAACTCCCACGCCAGTAGGACGGGAGGGCCGCAGCCAAGGCGCTGATTTGCTGGGAGGCCTCGGGGCGCGAAGGGGGAATAGGGGGCGCCGGGACCCCAGCATGCAGCAGCCGCCACGAAGTCCCGATTTCCCATCTCCGCCTCTCCGCAGCCTCCGTCCCTCCTCCCCAGCCGCGTCTCATAAAGCACAAAAGCAAGGAGGGGGGCGGGGCTGGCCGCCACCCCGCCCCCTCCCCAGCCCCGGGTTGGCTGCTGCCGCTGTCCATCTGCATTCTATTTTTGGTGGGGTGGGGAGGCCGGGCCGCCCTAGATCACGTTTGCTGTTAGCAGCCAACCAGTCCGGGCCGAGGCTGCGGGTGGAGCTGCTATTGGGGGCTAGGGAGCTCAGCTCCCCCTCTCCCACCCCTCCAGCCTGGGTCCCCCACCCCTCCACGCCCGGCTCCGGGAGGTATATCCTGCCTGCTCCACCTCCCCCTCGTGGAAGCGGAGCGGCGGCCTCCGTGTAACGCGGGGGCGAGATGTAGCGAGCCCGGCGCCGTGGCTGGACACTCGCCTTGGCGGGCGGGTGGGGGGCGCGGGGGGCCCGCGGAGGACAACGACTGCGAAGGAGGAGGAGTGATGAGAAGAGGGGGTACCCTGCACCCCCCCCAAGACCGCCAGCCCCAGGTGCCCATCATCTTCTTCCAGGGCCGAGGGTGGGGGGCAGATAACTACTGTTAAGTCCAGGGGTTTTTTTGGGGGGGGTGCAGTTGCAAGAATGTAATCAGCTTGCAGGAGAGTTTAAGTGGTGGTGGGGAGGAAGGGAGTTTACTGTTACCCCTCCCTGCCCCCCCCATATAGGTCTGGGCCCTGAACTGTGGTACTGATCCCCCCCCCCAATTTCAACCCTTTTGTCTCCTGCCTTAGGGCCCCCTCCTGTACTCCTGTGGTGGAGGGCAGGGTAAAGGAGTTAAAGGGAGATTTCGTCAGCAATGATGTTATCCCAGTTACTTGAGTTTGCTCCATCTCCCAACAAACTAGAGTTGAGGTTGATTATGTTTGGGGTTGTTAGGGACAATTAGGATTGCCCCCCCCACACACACACACACAAACTCACTCACTCTTTCTAGAGAGCCTCATTGAATTGGCCTTCTGGCGAACATCGCGTAGGACTTATTGCCAGGGGCTCTCTCTTAAGACAGGATAGACAGGAACCCCCAGAGCTACAAAGAGGTGCTGCATTTTTTTTTTTTTCTGTTTGTATTTTTATCTGTGCTTGAGCAATTTCCATTAATCAGCACGGACCCACTGGAGCTTCTTCTCTTCTTTCTACAAGCTCCAAAACCAAGAGGGGGAGGGCTGGGGGAAGGAATCCGCACTAGAGACAATGTCACCAATCCACTTTCACCACCCGGTTAATGGAGAGTTGACTGTACTTTTCTTTGCAACTCTGTTGATTCTCAAGGGCAAGAGTGGGCAGAGTTGAACCTGTCCTCAGCCTGTCTCTCAGCTTTCTGACTGACAGCCTTGCCCTTTTCTCCCATGGCCTTCTCTAATCTTTGCTATTTATGTGGCCAGAGTCTTAGAGGGGCCTCAGACTCACTTCTGGAAACTCCTGAGGAGAACATCGTGCCCTCCATTATTGGAGTCTTCCTGTTCTTTTGTCTCAGATGTCTCATGGAAGCCTAATTATCTCACACTGCCATGTGGGTGGTGGAAGCTGCTGCCCCTTTTTCACCCGTGGGGTGGCTATAGTATAGTTTAACCCCATGTGAAACACATTCATTTTGACAGTGAAGACTTCTAGTACCTTGAATTGCCAGGAAACAATCAGGAGGACTGAATTTGTTCCTGCCCACCTCTGGCTGCTAAGAAGGCAATTCAGAGAGTTCTGAACTGTCTACCCAACCAAAGGCTGAGGCCAGGACCAGGTTCCTAGCAGGCCCTATTAGGGGAATTGGTTACTATTTGGGGAGATGAAAAAGGAAATTCCCCACATTTCTATTCAGATGAAGTATAGTTAGAGTACTTAAATAATCGGAGGGAGGGAAATCTGAGGGTGACTAAACCTACTTTGGAGAGAGAGTTCCCCATGAATGTTTTAATTTTTTTCCCCCCTTCTCCTTCCCCCTTAAGGTGTTCAGCATAGGTTCCTGTGACTTTAAATAATAATCAGAGATTTGGAGAGGTCCACAGTCTTCCTAGGAAAGTAAGGGGACAGCCAGAAGAGAGAGCAGAGGCAGGGGGAAGCTGTGATCCTCCCTGGAACCAGTATAACTTCAACAGTGTCATAATACCGAACGTGCCATCTGCAAGAAGAGATTCAGAGGAGCCGGGTCCCAGGCTGAGCCTGTGTTTTGAAAGACTCAAACCCAAGCTGCTTTCCTAAGAGAGTAACCACTGGGATCCCCTTGCAGGACAGCCTCAAATTTGGTTAGGCTCTCCTCAGGAATCAAGTGATGTGGGGTGAGTGCACCTGCTGAGAACCAAAGAAGATAAGGAACTGTGGTTGTCCCCCACCCCCGGACAAGGAGGGGACTGGACCGCTATTCCAGTTTGGGAATAAGGCATTCACACCCCTAGTGGTTGGCTGCTGAGTCCAGTGGGGTGTGTTTCTTGTTTTCCTTCCCGATTGTGGCCTCAGTGCTTGATGGGGCTGCCTGTTGGTGGAACAATCTTCACAGTATCTGGCGGGAGCAAAGAGCTGTGGGAGACGGCCAATGAACCTGGGCTCTCCCTGGGACTCAGGTCTCTCTGGAGTTAAAAGGGAGAGAGAAAGAGAGAAATTCCCATTCTCCCCTGTCATGTCCTCCAAGCCAGAGCCAAAAGACCTCCACCAACTGAATGGGGCTGGCCCTCCTGAGCTGCCCTGCCCAGCAGATATCCCTGGACGGGAGCCACTAGCTAGCACCTCTGAGTTCCTGGGTCCAGATGGGGCAGGAGTGGAGGTGGTTGTGATCGAGTCACGGGCCAATGCCAAAGGGCTTCGAGAGGAGGACGCCCTCCTGGAGAACGGGAGCCAGAGTAATGAGAGTGACGATGTCAGCACTGATCGTGGCCCTGAGCCGGCCTCTCCCCTCAAGGAGACCTCCTTCTCCATTGGGCTCCAGGTGCTTTTCCCTTTTCTCCTGGCTGGCTTTGGGACCGTTGCTGCAGGCATGGTGCTGGACATTGTGCAGGTAGGAGTATTGGGGAATACCAGAGACTGGTTACCTTGTACTCTGAAGGAAGAAGCTGGCCGTTCTAGTTTTCCTTTTAGCCTCCATGGCAGGGGCATTCATACCCAGAAGCAGCGTCTTCCCAGAAAAATCATTTCCCCTTTGGACAGGATCCTTCACTCTCGCTCTTATTACTGGCCTCCCAATGATTTTCTTCAGAAGCCTCTGGGAAGGGAGGGGGCTGTGTGGAGCCAGGGAGAGGGTAATAATTGCCTAGCATGCACAGGCTATGGTCTAGTGCTCTGGTGTGGAAAGAGGTAGAGGGGCTGTTGCTAACCCTCAGGGTGGGCCCCTTTGTGGGCCCCAACTCAGCTGGTTGTGTTTGGCCTATTCTACCAACCCTCTTATCCATTCATCTGGGCCTTCAGGGGGTCCCAGCAGGGATCTTAATCTTAAGCCTTCCTTGCTAGGCAGGGATTTGGCTGGATGACAAGGTGGGGGAGGAGATTTTGTTTGCAGTGCCTAAGAAGGGTCATGAAATGCTTTCTCACCTGCCTGTCATCTTGGCACAGTCTCCTTAAAATTATGCACATACAGGCTAGGATACACACAGTGACAGGAAAAGTATCAGCACTAATTATGCTAAAGCAAAATGAAGAGGAAAGATGACCAGACCTGAGTAGGACCAAGACATCTATCTGCCTTGGTGGCTTCTCATTACGCTGGTGTGTAGGACTCGGGGTGGGAACTGGAAGATAACAGAGTCGAAGATTTAGAGCAGAAAGGTCTCCTCCTTTACAGAAGAAGAAACTGAGGCCCAGAGTGGTTGAGTGATTTTGTCCAGGGTCCCCTCAATGATAAGGAAGGAGGCAGAGCAGTGATTCCAACTCAGATCCTCTGACTAAGTCTAGTGTATAGTCCGTTGACGAGGAAGCCTAAGCAAGCCTGGAGCTTTTTGTGTGTGTCACAGTAATGGGGTACAGGATGTGTCAGGGAGACTGTACTACTGGGTGTTCTCAAAGGGTAGGATATTTTCTTAGCTCCTTGAAAGAGCTGAGATCTGAGTTAATCAACAGAACATATCAAATTCCTGCTGTGTGTTGAGCCCCTGTGCTATAAGGAGGTATAAAGGAAGAAATCTGGGCCGTGTCCCTAGAAGCTTAGAGTCTTGTAGTGGAGATACCAGCCCTCCCCTCAAACTTCTTGGGCTGATGGAAGGAGAGAGGTGGCCCTCACCCTGGGGAGGCTTCCAGCCTAATGGGGCAGACATGACTCCCATCTTTGGGGAGCTCTCAGTCTATGTGATGTTGACCATAAAACATCCCTTGCCATTTCCAAGAGAGGAAGGGGTTCTGGGACTACTGAATTTGTTGGAAGAAATAGGTCTGCGGCAGGCAGAGGGCATCCCCTTCACCCTTCTAGCTCCACAGAAGACATAGGAAATAGAAAACTGGCTCCTGCTTTGCTCAGGGACATTGTTAGCCTCTCAAACAATGCCCAGTGGCATCTCCTTTGGCTCATACCCCAATGGGACCATGGAGCCAACAGTTCCAGATAGTTCTGGCTAAATCTAGCCAGCATGCCCACCCCCTGACCGCCTTGACTCGTGCCCTTCGTGAGGAACTCTGCAGCTGCTGCTTCATGGCTGGGTGTTTACAAGGGAGTCATGTGTTCTCCCCACCCCCACCATCCTGGGATTTGTTACCCAAAAGGGAAAGCCAACTGGAAGGTAGGAGAACTGAGCTATGGGTTCTCACCTGTAGTAGTTACTCCGTGCCCTACATTGTCAGGCACTTTGTAAGGCCTTAGAGATAGAATGACAGAGAAGGAAACAATGGGTCTGGTTTGTTAGTTCTCAGCCATTTCTGAAAGGCTGGTCATCACTGATCCACATGCTTTCTCCCTGATTATATTTTATCCTGTTGTAGTTTGGTATCTGTCACTAGGCCTGCAACCTCATTTAAGAAGGGAATTCTGGAGGAGAGCTAGGGTTGGGTTTAGTGGCCCCGGTATCTATTTGAGTTTGACACCATTGGTCCGAAGCTTGGAGCCCATGAAACATTAGGATGGCAGGAGCAAGAGGGGCCATCGTTTCTTTGAAGAATAGGGCCACCTAAATGTTGTGGTCTGGGATTCTCAAAGGAGTCTCATTCGGCTTTCCATGCCTCTTTTGCAATCCCTCTTACTCACCCAAACTCAGAGGATTCTAAAGCTAGAAAGACCTAACCCTCTATCGTGCGCTTCAAAGCCCATGAGAACGAGATAATTGAACTGTGAAGAGGTAGAGGGAGGAGGGGTCAGCCCCTGCCAGAGAATGAATGAATGAATGTCTGTAAAAATATACTTTTCTCTACTTTGATGCCTCTGCTGGTTGTCATGTATTTTCTGTGAATGACAATGGTTCAGGAACAATTTTGTAACAGAGAGATCTCTGAAAGGGAATCGGCTGCCTTGGGAGAAAGGGTTCCTTGTCCCTGTCCCCCTCTTCCCCCTGCCCCAATATGAGGAGTTGAGTTGACCCAACCAGACGGCAGCAGCTGGGCACAGAGCAGTGGGAACAAGAAGAACTTTGGTGATACAATAGGAAAGCAGGAACACATGGAGGGCAAGGGATGCTGTGACTTCCATTTGGGCAGTGGGGACTGTCATCAGATTTCTAAGGATTTCAGAATTGCAGAAAGAGAGAGATGGAAAGGACCTCAGCAGCCATCTAGTGCAATCCATACCCCCCAAAGTGAATCCTCATAATAACATATCAGACGAGTGGTCAGCCAACCAGCCTCTGCTTGAAAGGAGGAATGCTCGCTCTCTCCAGAGGCAGCGGATTCCCTTTTGGAGAGCTCTCTTTGTTACAAAGTTAAGCCCAAATTTGTCTCATTGTAGCTAATACCCATTGCCACTGATTTTGTCCCCTGGGACCAGACAGACGAATCTAATGTCTTTTCTGTATGACAGCCTTTCAGATACTTTAAAAAAAAAAACCAACCCACTCATGTCTCCCTCTGACTCTTCTCCAGATTAAACATTCCCAATGCCTTCAGCTATTTCTTTTTTGACATTACTTAAGATTCTTCACCAACCCTTACCTTTCTCTGGCTTCTCTCCAGCTTATTATCAAAATCCTTTTTAAACTGTGGCACCCCAAACTGAAGACAGTATTTCAGATGTAGTCTGACTAGAGCAGAGTAGAGAAAAACAATCACCTTCTTATTCTTGATCTGGGCCTCTCCTCTTTTTCCTCCCTTCCTTCTGAAACAGAACTAGCCTTCCTCTTTATTTATCCTGGATCTGAGAAATTGGAGAATGGAAGAATTCCTTCTGGGCCAGGCCTGGGAGAGCTAGACAAACCCCTAGGGGCTTTGCACACCCAAGCTGAAGCCCAGAGCAGCCCTGGGCATTCGGTGGATGTGGTAGAAGATGGGGAAAGGTGGGTTTGCCTGCAGGATATCATTCCCTCTACAGCTTTACCTTTGGAGCTACTGAACTGGCTGCCTGTACCCCAGCGAAGGGTGCACTTGTAATCCCCTCTTATCTGTTACCCTCTTCACTCAGCTGCTCTAGCCCAGCAGCTGGAGTGAGATAAGGGTAAGGGCTGAAGGCTGGCAGTCAGAAAAGGAGGGAACAAACAAGTGAGCTATGTACCTCTCCCCACACAGGGAGCCCGGAGCCTCCGTGATGCTTAGGAGGGGAGGCAGCCCAGGCTGGCTGGATCCCTGGGGGTGAGCAGGAAGGAGGGGAGGTGTTCTGGGTGGCTCATCAGAAACCTTGGATCCAGTAAACACTCCCTGGCTGCAAAGTTCAGTTCCCCTGGAAATGACCCAGCAGACCCAGTTTCTCCTCTCTTGCCATCCGAGGTGGTCCTACCACTGTTGCTGCTACTGTTCAGATGGAGCAATGATCTCATCAATATCTATCATTCAGTCAGTCAGCAAGCATTTATTAAGCATGCACTTTGTCCCACACACTCTTCTAAACACAAGGGATACAAAGAAAGGAAAAACAAAAAACCAGCCCCCTTCTCAAAGTGTGCACAGTCTAATGAAGCAAGCAATTAGATACAAATATGATTAAACACACAATATATATAACAAATAATATACAAACATATATAGCTTATAAATTATATATACTCTTATAAAGTATATATTATAAGTAAGATATATTTATCTTATAACTTATTCAATATATGATATATAATATATGGCATAATACATAATAAGATATTTATCCTATAGCTTAAATAAGATATACAAGCATATATCTTATTTAAGATATATATCAATTGTACAGAGTTGTTTGCATATTATATAATTGTCGTATGATATATATGTGTGTATATATATATTTGTACATTGTCGTTTGCATGTTGTCTCCTATATATCTATATGTAGATATATAAATATGTACACACATACATACATTACAGGCAATTAGGTGGTTCAGTTGTTAGAACATTTGGCCTTAAGTCAGAAAGACCTGAGTTCAAATGCTTCCTCCGATATCTTAATAGCTGTATGACTCTGGGCAAGTCACTAATCTCTCTAGACTTCAGTTTCCAGCTCGCTAGGATGGGGATAATAATAGTAGCTACCTCTCAGGGTTATTGTAAGGATAAAATTAGAAAATATTTATAAAATGCTTTACAAACCTAAAAGTGTTATCTAAATGCCAACTATTATTATTATTATTATTGTTATTATTATTTTACTCTGTGTTTTTGTGGGTTCTGCTGCTTTAGAATTTGTTTAGAGCCATTTTTTACAGGTATATGGAGGGGTTTGGGGGAGAGCTCAAGCTAGTCACTGCTTTCACTCCACCATCTTGGCTCCGCCCCTTATTATTGTTATTATTACAGAATAAGAGAATCAACCTAGGGAAGGCACTAACTGGCATTAAGGGAGATTAGGAAAAAGCTTTTTATAGAAAGTAGGACTCTAACTGGGACTGGAAGGGAGCCCGGAGGTAGAAAAGAGGAGGGAGAGAATTCCAGGCATGTGGACAGCCAGTGAAAATGCTTGAGT